GCGGACGCTTTGCGGACACAAACGCAACGACCTCGCGTCGCCTCCTGGACCCCTGGACCCTAACTTTAAAACGGGAACCCTTCTGCTACGCATTCGGGAAAAAGTTCCGAGCACGTATGGCCCCAAGTGGTAGTGCATTTTGGGTCTGGTCTACGCCTGGGAAAAACCCACCCTGAGTGCCAAGACCTTCCTCACATGCTGAGACACCAGTGTAAACCCGGACCAATATGGAGGGCCTCTAACAAAATAAAACATGATGCCCTTATCAACCTAGGAAGACGTAGGGACTATGAGTAGGGTATGCGTACATAATATGTGTATAGATACACAGAAACACACACATATGTATATTCATATGTACACGCGCACATAAATGCTTTCGTATACACACATACATATATACATATATACATATGTATGTACATATCTACATTTGAAGATATATCTCTGTCTATATGTATATGCTTATGTATATGTATGTATGTGTACGTGTATATATGTGTATATGTATGTCTGCGTATATTGTATATATCCATATGTATATACATACGTATATACATACGTATGTACATACGTATATACATATGTGTGTATATACATGTGTCTGGACCTGTGCATGTCTGTATATGTGTGCATGTGTGCATATATATGTATACAAACGTAGGTAACCAGGCGTGCGTACGCATACCTATATGCATATACATATAAACCTTTATCTATATACATTCGCGCTGCCATTGCGGAACTCGCGCATTGCGTTCTTAAGGAACCATCTACACTTCCCGTAAACAAAACAGCAAGGATCCCCTATAGGTGGCCAAACGACAAAGACACTAGTTTTGTCCAGGACGGAAAGAATAACGGCCCGGTTATAACTTGGGCTTCTTCCTTCCTAGACTATTCCTCATTGGGGCCAGAGAGGCGATTGTTGTCTGGCTTGCTCGTGGGCTTGTGATGTACACGAATGACGCTGCAGTTGAAGCGGGGGTTGCCATTGCAGTCACCATCGTTCCTTGGCTTCAGCCATCCTGACTAGAGAACCTCCCCGTTTTGCAGACTATGCTGTGCTCAGGGGGGGCAAACCCCTACAGAAAAAGAAGCAGAATGTGTCCCAAAAGCATGTCAGCATCTGGTAGTTCCAGATGCACCGGTCCACCATAACGGACTCTAAGTTCAAATGAGCTTTGCCATCGGCGTCATGCAAGCCGGCTGCAACCAGTGCTTTTTGAACCGGCTTGCACTTTTTGTAGAAGAGTGTGTGGAAGAAGCCCTGCCCACATTCCGCGCCCACAAATTTGTTTCCGCTAGGATGGAAACCGCATTTGCCCCAACCAGTTTCAACGGTGAACGTCACGTTCCCACCAAAAAACTCGGCCGCGCGCAAGAGCCGCTTGTCTGGGCGTAGCGCGAAGAATCCCACATTGAAAGGCTCTCCCACGCCTCCACTAGCACTGATGAAATAGCCCTTGGCCGCACACTTCAACACTGCCGTCATGTCTCCCTGGAACTCCACATCCTTACATGCTCCAAGTTGCAGGAGGGTAGCCCATTTGCCTGATGACAGACACTACCAAAACGGCGAACCTGGTAATTAACGAGCAAGCATCTTGATCATAGAACACCACAGCATCATACTCATCCATCCCAAGGGTGTGCAAGCGCATCAGGTCCTTGATGGTGACTTGTGGGGACTGAAGGAGTGGATCCCTATAAAGTCGTCCCCACATGGTGCCTGAAGACTGTCCCTGCAGCTCATTCCCCCATTCCCAACTACAGGGAGTGTAACCCCCATATTTTCCCCTATGTGGTATATTCCCTTATTCCCTACTATCCCCCTGTAAGGCTGTAAGGCTATCCACCAGTATAATCAGAGCATTTTAGGGCCCTGCAACAGTCATATGACACTTAATGGGATCCTCATATTGGGGGTTTAGGGTTTAGGGTTTAGAGGTTTAAGGCTCAGGGTTTAGGGTTCAGGGGCTTACGGCTAAGGGTTTAGGGGTTTACCCCAAACCCTCTTGTTACCCAAGCTCTGAACCCTACATAGTCCTGCAAGCCTTTCAGTTTCCATGTCATTGCCCATGTTCTTGTCCATTTGAGTCTCCATTCTTCGGGGATTCAGGCCCTTGCCAATCCCTAAACCCCATAATGAATCCCTAGACCCTCTCTCTCCCTAAACCGCTATACTAAACGCCAAACCCTAAACCACTAAACCTCCCCTAAACCCTAAACCCCGAAAATGGTATAATCCCTATACCAACTACCGGTAAGGATCCTGGGGTCCACACCAACCATCAGCCTTACCTGGCCACCAGTAGTCAGGATACCTGGCCGGGTCATTCTGGGGGTTTAGGGTTTAGGGTTTAAGGTTTAGAGGGGTTAGAAGGGGATGTACGCGGTGTAGAGCTTTGGGTCTGGCGGGTTCTCAACATAACTTGCTGGCCATTTTGCTCCAACTTCAAGATACGCATGAAGGCAACTTGGGACCACGTTCTATATACACTACCATTTGGAGTGATGTCGGGTGAGGGTGTTGCAATTTGCTGAAAACAGGTGGGTTATAGGGATGTATGGAGTTTGGGGTGCAGGGCTCGAAGTTAAGTATTCTCAGGATTCGGGGCCCTGAAAGACTTTGGGGGTATATGCAGATTGCTGTGGGATTGTGGGGTGGGCTCAGAGGCCAAAGCGGATGGGTCCGTAAGGGATCCCTCTCAGAGGACAGCTATTCGCGCGACAGAACTCAAACAAACAACTCCTTGATGTAGCACCATTACGCAGACTATTATGTTTTGAGAAGCCAGGATTTGTGGGAAAGCCAGGATTTGGGGTTCAGGGTTTAGGGGTTCTCAAATGTAGCCAAGATGCCAAGAGTTAGGCGGAATGGTCCAGGGTACCTCGTAAATCCGGATTTTGTAATTTTGCGCCAGTGCCCGTTGGTGGCAGCCCAACTCCTTGATGTCCTTGTCAGGGATGCACCCCACCACCCCAGGCCCTGTTTCATAACTCCGTAACCTCACCCTACACATCACTCTACGTCCCAAAACCTACGTCGCTTCCCCTCACACTCCTACCTTAGGCGGCATCATCACCACGATGTCCACTGTTCCACCAGTCGATTCCTCTAAAGCCAGGGCCTGGATTGCTGCTCAGATACTTACGGTTACGAATGGGCATTTCAGGAGGAAACCTCAACTAGGGTACTAGCATGTACCAGCCTTATCAGTCACATGTAAAGGGCTACCATGCTTATCATGCAGGGCGATGTAAAACTTCCTCCTGGGGAGAAGTTTGCTCGTGGGGGGCGATACTCTATATAGAAAGCCACAGACAGTAAACGCTTAGCTCGAGGCTCTATATACTCTGAACCCAAGGGCAAGCCTCAAACCAAAAAACCTAGATACATACTGAACCCAAAACCCAGGGACTTGGGCGCGCATGCTGTCCAGAAAGGTGAGCCATGGCCAGCCAGGAACCCCCACCTTGATCTTGTGTTTTGCTTGCTGTGGTCTATACTTAATTACAGCTTAAGGCTTGAGTCGGGCTTCTAGCGTCTACGATGTAGGTCCGAACGGAAGTGGGGGGGGCAGGGAATCTAGGCACTGTCCCAGATATATATATATATGTATGTGCTCACATGGTCATATTTACTCTCAGACCCTTACTGGTTTCACTTATTCATTCCTCTTCGCACCAGCAAGTCATCGCAGGAAATGAAAAGTAAGTGTATGTGTATATATGTACGTATATACTATAGACCTTTCCGGTTCCCACTTCTTCACACCCCTCGCAGCACCAGCTAGTCATCGTAGGGCTTCTTTTGGAAGCGTTCATAGGGTTAGTATAAGTTGAATAAACGCTATAGTGCATGGTTGCATAGGGGGCATGCCTGGGAAGGCAAGGTTTCTCAGTATTATGGATCTTTTGGGTGACCCGCCCTCTCTTTGGACTATTTTCTATGTGGGGTCATAAATATGCAGGGATTCTAATCTGGAGAAACATCCGGGAGTGGAGCCCAACTGTATGTGGTGCTGAACCTTTTGAGGGGCGCCCGTGTGCTGCTCAGTAAGAAGGGTGCCGGCACTTGGGAAGCCTTTTTTTTCACGTGTTGTTAGCTCTTCTGGTAAGAGACCTGGCATGATAGGGCACATCAAACGACTGTCCTCTCTGCAAAAACTGCTAGCTCCTACCCTCTAGCGGTTTTGAAGTAACGGGGGTATAAAGGCTATGTAAGCTGCAGCGAACGCTACGAGTAGTCCCTCTCGCACGATACCTCCTCATATTGCTCACTTCTTTCACCAAGGATCTCAGAGGGCCTAATTACTTTTGAACCCTACAATGGGCACCGAGCATTTGGTCCAAATCACAGTCCAGGCACATGTGCATAGACGAAGGCATACCTCCCGCCAGAGACTCCCACCGCGCAGGCCTCCGCGCTTTAGAAAATGGACACCTTCTAGACTTCTGTCATTATGAAAGCGGGCCATGGGTTGTTCCATGATAGTTTAGTTTAGGGGAGGGAAGGATCAGGTCGGCAGGGATGCGAAGACGTTGAGTTTTTGCTGTTCTTGCACTAGAGTTCAAGGAACCCAAGAAACAAAGACGTGTCTGTAGAGCTTCAGGTTTAGGGTCGAGGGCTCTTTCACAATATGGGGTTGAGGATTTAAGGTTGCGGCTCGCTAAGCCTGAGCTGCTCAGAACTGCACGGTACCCTCCCAAAAAAATCTCAAATGCTCGACGAAGGGACCCTACAAAGACTACTGTCCCTCTAGATGGGCTTCCCTGCATTTCCGCGTTACTTGGGGGGATTCTAGCCTCCACGTCGAAGCAGGGCCCGTTCTCCTTCCCATCGTTGCAGCAGTTCCTGGGCTTGTCATTTATAGCTTAGGTTTGAGGCTGCGCTGCGGTTTGGGTAAGGGTTTCGGGTTTGCTTGGGCAGGACCCTGCACTGAGCACGATCTTAGCCCACCCTGCTTCGAGAGCCGGTCAGAAAGAGTTCGCGTTGCTTTCGGAGTAGCGGCCCATGATTTCTTTCAAGAATCCAGAATGCGGCCGTGGCCAACCTAAACAAAAGCTCAGCCGAGGCACGTGCAACCCAAACGCAGTTGCAAAGCAGTCGGCGCCTGACGTACATTTTGGGTATCCACCTGAAACGGCTTGCCCTGTCTTCCAGTGGAGTCTTCCTCAACCGCGCTGGCTGCCGCGCCTGGTCTTTGCCAACTGAAGGTTTAGATGTGTAGCCAGCGAGGGGTATTTTAAGGTGGAGTAGTCCTGGGTTGATAGGCCTAATCCTGTCCTCGTATTACTGTATCAGCCCCTTATACTACTAGCTACTGCTTGGCCAGAATGTCAAGTGTTTAAGAAATGCATGAAGATGCATCTTCATTCAGCGGAAGCTACATGCCTCGACCCACTTCCCGAATGCCGGTATCAAAATCAATACTGTGCATCGGGCTTAGCAGAACCTTTGCACATGCGCCACAGACTTGTAAAACAACAGCGGCGCACCAACAACTACTAACTGTCTAGTGCTGGGCCAGAACGGGGGAGTGAACCATGCCCTTCCTTCCTTCCTCCCTTCCATACTGGGCAAACAATAAGCGGCCACTACACCCAATATGATGGGTTTAGGGGTCTGGGGTTTCATGCTGTTACCCACAGGAATAATTTAGAATTTCTGAAAATGACAAACTAGTCCTGTGGGTAACAGCTATCAGATATCATCTCCTGATGAACAATATGGTGCCCTGGTAGGTACAATGAGGTTGGGGGTAGTTATATCATGTATGAGGGAATACATGGGCATGTCGTTGCTAAAGCATGACAAAAGGGTGGGTTTGGGGGCCCTATAAAATGTAAATCTACTGCTTCTTGGGGCTTATAATATAGAATATGAGCATTCAGGTGAATGAAAATTTATATACATATTAAAAAAAAAAAAAAAAAAAA